ATGGCGGCGGCGGCGGCGGCGGCGGCGGCTGCGGGGGGAGGGCGAGCGGCGCGCCTGCGCACAGCGCCATCCTCCACCTTCCCGTCAGCCCCCGCGCGCGAAGGTGAGGAGAAGGAGAGCCCCAAATGGCGGCCTACCTGACGCACCAGCAGAAGGTGCTGCGGCTCTATAAGAAATCCCTGCGGCACCTGGAGTCCTGGTGCATCTACCGGTGAGAGGCGAAGGGAGGTGGGCCTGGGGAGGGGGAGGAGGCCTGTTCTTTTTAGGAGCGGGGCCTCTCATCTTCGCACTTAGCTGGGGGGAGGAGGGGGCTGGCCTTCCCCGCCGGCCTTCCCCGCCGAGACGGGGCGTTGGGCTTGACTGGGGCTTTGTCCTCTTTCCTTTCCTTTTCCCAGTCGTGGCTGAAGGAGTGAGGAAAAAGTCTCTGGGTCACTTGTCTGTGCCTGCCACAGAAAAGGGCTATGTGGGAACAGAAGCTCCTCGGAGCCCCTGGCCAAACCCTGTCTTTGCGCAGGGGTGACTGGTGATGTTGCTAAGCTTTGTTTCTGTGTGTGATTAGTTTTTTCCTCCAACGTACGTCACTGTGCTTAACCTCTGTCTGTAGAGACAAGTACCGCTACTTTGCCTGCCTCCTGAGAGAACGGTTTGATAAGAACAAGGATGTGAAGGATATGGTGAAAGCTACAGAGCTGCTGAAAGCAGGCGAGGAGGAGTTCTGGGCAAACCAGCATCCTCAGCCATACATCTTCCCTGACTCCCCTGGGGGGACTTCCTATGAGAGATATGAGTGCTACAAGGTAAGGTGGCCTGTAAGATTGTGTATTACTGTGCTTACCTTACTGTTCTTTTAGTGAATGTAAAGTGAATACTTTAAGTGGACTTTCATAGGGCTGCAGCTTGACTCAGCAGTATCATTTCTCTAATATTTTACTGCTGCTGAACATATTGCTGCTTGCGTGGGAGAAGCTGTCCTGCTTGTCTGATCCTTAAAAATGGAATTTGCTGGTCTGTCTGAAGACAGCTGGCTTCTTTTTGCTGGGATAATTATCTGCTCTTTTGCCAAATGGAAGCTGCTCCGCGATAGGTCAGGCAGGCACAGTGAAAGGGTTGGAGCTGAGCTGTGAGAGTAAACAAGGTGGAGGAATCTGTGCTGCCCGTTGTGGTGCCATCTGGTCACAGCCTTGTGATCTCTGGTCTTGTCAGATGTTGGTTTGGCTGTTGGGGGACTTCTCTTCACTCAGTCCCATCGTTCTTCCAGCATTTTGAATAATGGTACAAATCATCATTTCCCTTCATATGCTTGTGGTGCCAGATACGCACTGTACGTCACTGTGTGATAGGTGGTATGCCTAAAAATAGAAGCTGTATTCTTACAGTCTAAGGCACTTCTAGAGGCTTTCCCCCTCCCCCCCAGATTGTTCTGTTTAGGAGAAAAGAAACAGGTTTCATAGAAAAACACAGGGTTTTTGCTTTCTTGCCATCGGCTCCTAATGCATTATGAGAAGTTAATACTAAGCTAGAGAGTGCATGCACCTGCTTTCTCCTGAATTTTAAGTAAGTGCGTACACAACACTAGATCTGATCAGATCTTTATGCACAAAAAGCCACGTGAAAGGAAGAATTTGATGTAGATTTATCAGGGGCAGAAAAAAGAACATATGAGTGAAAAGGGAGGAGGACTTAAGCTTATACCAAGGTCACAGGCCTTAACAGTAATAGAGATAATAGAGAGAATCCAGACAGAAAAAAGGCCAGTTGAGCAATAAATGGTCAAGATTAGTCTTCATATAGAAATATAAACTGGTTTACATTCTCTTTTCTTTGCCCTGTTCGATATGCTAAAACTGTCCTTTAACAAAATGGCTGTCACAAGGATTTGGCTTGTTTATATGTCAGTGACTGTCCATTGTGGATGCTGCTGCAAAATGTAGTTTTTAGATCTCAGCCTGTGTGATGGTTTTAATTGTTGTTTGGTGTGTGTGGATTTTTTTTTTATATATTAGCAGCTCTGCTATTTCTGTTCAGTCAAAGGTTTACTCAGTGATGAGAATCACAGCAGGAAACTGGAAGTGTAAATGTCACTGGATGAATGATGGTATTGGAGCAACTTCTTAATTTTCTTTTTTTAAGAATTGGGGTTTTTTGTGGGGTTTTGTTTTTTAATCAATGTTCCTGTCTTTAAAATGTTAACATTCAGTGATAGGCTGCTGCAGAATTTTAATTTCGCTTTTTTTCTTGACGGGACATCTTAGAGGTCAGACCATTATCAAGATCTTAAAGGCCACTAATTTTTTCATTAGTTGTAGACAAGTGGAAATGAGCTGTAAGGTTCTGTCTCTGTAAAAGAAAATGAATTAGTAGTTGGAGAAAAGTATGTCTAACCTGCTGCCTTTGAGAGAAGGAAAAGAAGAAATGAGATCTTCTCTTCCACCAGATGGTATTATTTTGAGAACTTTAGAGCAAACTGAGATGACCTGGACTTGTCTCCGGGATGCTGTGATTGAAGCAAGTCACTATGATGTCTTCCTATGACTTAGGATAGTGTGTGAAACAAAGATTAAAAGTACTGACCTCTGCCATATAGTGCCTTGAGACTAACAATAGTCAGGTAGCTCTTAAAGGGTGTTTTTATGTAGTACTTTATTTCCTGGGTTATTTATCATTCTAATACTGGTTTCAGTGATTGCGTTTAGTTCTTTTGTGTGTGTGTACTGTATATGATTTAATATGTAAAAATAATATATATGAAACTTTTTTTTTATCTAACAGATTCCTGAATGGTGCTTGGATTACTGGCATCCTTCTGAGAAGGCGATGTATCCCGATTACTTTGCCAAACGAGAGCAATGGAAGAAGCTGCAGCGGGAAAGCTGGGATAAAGAGGTCAGTGCTTGCTCAATGCCAAGTAAAGCCTCTTTTGCACACGAGTATTTTGTGTGACGTTTAGATGTGTTCTTGGAAAATACCTGAATGCCTACTGTGGTCTCATTTAGACTCTGCTTTATTAGAACTCTTGTCAACGTGAAACACTGACTTGACTTAAAATGCCTACACAGAGATCTCAAGAGTTACAGCTTCTTAAAGGTTGTGAAGGGAATTTGAAGTTAATGCTGAACCTGCAACCATGTTTCAGTTAGTGCAGGGCTGTTGCAGCAGCTTTGCTAAAGGAAATTCCAAAGTGGGATGAGAAGAGATTAATGACCAGAGAATTCCTCTTTTGCTGTTGTGAAGCTCTGACACTTTCTGGTTGTACCTTTGAAAGTGACTTACCACGGTGTTCATCATCTGGGAAACGAGAATAATTTCTGGCCAACCTAAACAGATTCAGTTGGAAAAAGTTCATGTTCTTAGAATAGTTCTTTAATTCAGTTGTAGAGAAATAGTTGGATTGTATGTAGTATGGCAGTCTTACCAGAATTAACATACTGGCAGCCAGCACTTACACTGCTTCAAGAAACATGTATTGAAAACATCTAAAGGGCTGTTGGTGGCTTGCAGCAAGAGAATGCAGTCTGTTTAATGTTGCAATGGTAGACATGAATTATGTGGAAATAATGACCTTTTAAGTAAAATCCCTAAATTCCTAAAAATTCCTTCTTAATTAGGTAATATGCAATGATTACTGAGTTTAAGTGAATACTGAGAAATGCAGAACCTGCCTGTGAACCGAAGGGGTTACTGCTGGTTCTTCCCTTCTGAAATGGGGGCCAGTTCTGCTTACCGCCTGGGCACTGAACACCACATTATGGAAGTGTGCTTATATGTACTAAAGCAATTTTATGTCTTGTCTTCTAGATTAAGCAGTTAGAAGAAGAAACTCCAGCTGATGGTCCAAGAACTGAAGCTTTGCCTCCAGCTCGTAAGGAAGGGCATCTGCCACCACTGTGGTGGCAGTATGTAACAAGACCTCGTGAAATTCCCATGTAAAAGCATTATTTCGCGTGAGAATTAAAGCGGCCTATCTTCTGTAGGCAGTAGACATGTCAGTGACCGCATGC